TAGACAAACGCGATAAATTCCTGCGTATCGAATATCATTGGGTCACTGATGCATGAATATATTAAGCCACAAACCAATCAGATCGTATAGACATCCCCTATTTATTAAGATCATTGGTTTTTTTGTTGAAGTTTCTGATGAGTAATCTCGATTACCAAAAGTGGTCAATAATTCTTGAAGAAAGCTTTTTACAACTTAAGTGGGGAACTGAAGCAAAAAGAAACACGTATCTTAGAAATTTGAAACCAAGTTATATTGAAAGCGTTGTACGTTCGTACCAAGACGGAGATACTTCCACTCAACGTTGCCGTTGCAGAGGGGATACAACCGACCGGGCCATTTTTCAACAGAAAATACCTGGAAGCAAATTGGTTATTCGCGTTGTTGTGGTCGTAAAAACAACTCCGTGGACCGTTATTACTTTGTATTCCGCATCGGCGCGTCGCTACTGGGATAAAAATGTATATTAATTCGATCAAGTAAGCTGACCATATCAAATTTTTTGTATTTGTGTATATATACTGTATATATATATAACCAAAATTGCTTACAATATAGAAAACTTTTAAAAAAACTAAGGGCAAAAAAGAGGGTACAAAACTGTAATACGTTGAAAACTTGGTTTACCTTTTACGTCTGTATTACTTATTTCATGTCTTGTCATAAATATTTAGGAAAATCAAGAACCTGAGACTTCAACAAACGGTAATGGAAAATTAATCGCTGAAACTTTTTCCCGAGATGATGACTCCATTTATCGTATTTCCTATACGGACAGGTTTGCAATATTTATTATTTTAATGGAGCTGGCGCTCCTTTATTAGTCACGCTTATGACAGATTTGGAGATTTACATCCTTTTACAATTTAAAAGATTTATTACATCTGCTGTATACTATGACGATTCGGACGCTCTTTATGTAGCTTTTACAGAGGAGAAACCCGAGGACATCGCCGAGCACGCAACATGGTATCTTCTCGTAGGTTACAGCAACACGGAAAAATTTAGATATAT